AGGACTCAGCCTAGGACCTCAGCCTAGGACTCAGCCTAGGATTCAGCCTAGGACTCAGCCGAGGACTCAGCCTAGGACTCAGCCTAGGACCTCAGCCTAGGACTCAGCCGAGGACTCAGCCTAGGACCTCAGCCTAGGACTCAGCCTAGGACTCAGCCTAGGACTAAGCCTAGGACTCAGCCTAGGACTCAGTCTAGGACCCCAGCCTAGGACCTCAGCCTAGGACTCAGCCTAGGACTCAGCCTAGGACTCAGCCAAGGACTCAGCCTAGGACTCAGCCTAGGACCTCAGCCTAGGATTCAGCTTAAGACCTCAGCCTAGGACTCAGCCTAGGACTAAGCCTAGGACTCAGCAAAGGACTCAGCCAAGGACTCAGCCTAGGACTCAGCCGAGGACTCAGCCTAGGACTCAGCCTAGGACTCATCATAGGACATCAGGCTAGGACTCAGCCAAGGACTCAGCCTAGGACTCAGCCTAGGACTCAGCCTAGGACTAAGCCTAGCACTTAGCCTAGGACCTCAGCCTAGGACTCAGCCGAGGACTCAGCCTAGGACTCAGCCTAGGACCTCAGCCTAGCACCTCAGCCTAGGACCTCAGCCTAGGACTCAGCCTAGGGCCTCAGCTCAGCCTAGGACCTCAGCCTAGGACTCAGCCTAGGACTCAGCCGAGGACTCAGCCTGGGACTCAGCCGAGGTCTCAGCCTAGGACTCAGCCTAGGACCTCAGCCTAGGACTCAGCCTAGGACCTCATCCGAGGACTCAGCCTAGGACTCAGCCTAGAACTCAGCCTAGGACTCAGCCAAGGACTCAGTCTAGGACTCAGCCTAGAACTCAGCCCAGGACTCAGCCTAGGACTCAGCCCAGGACTCAGCCGCGGACTCAGCCTAGGACTCAGCCCAGGACTCAGCCCAGGACTCAGCTGAGGACTCAGCCTAGAGATTAGCCTATAACTCAGCCATGGACTCGGCCTAGGACCTCAGCCTAGGACTCAGCCTAGAACTCAGCCTAGGACTCAGCCAAGGACTCAGCCCAGGACTCAGCCGCGGACTCAGCCTAGAGATTAGCCTATAACTCAGCCATGGACTCAGCCTAGGACCTCAGCCAAGGACCTCAGCCATGAACCTCAGCCTAGGACTCAGCCTAGAATCTCAGCCTAGGACTCAGCCCAGGATTCAGCCTAGGACTCAGCCTAGGACTCAGCCCAGGACTCAGCCCAGGACTTCAGCCTAGGACTCAGCCTAGGACTCAGCCCAGGACTCAGCCTAGGACTTCAGCCTAGGACTCAGCCTAGGTCCTCTGCCGTGCATGTGTTAGTGACCTCCGGTTCTGGCTTGTTGTTGTCATCACGAAGTGGATCCACTGGTGGTGTGACTGGGAGCCCAGCACAGTGGTCACCTGGGATCACCGTCTGACACGTCGGCCGCTGGCATGAGCTGCTTCTCAGCCACCATTGTCAACTCCATCCAAACCAACCTGGGAGCACCCTCTTCTCACACCTGTAGATCTGGTGTCTGGAGACCCTCGTCCGCTTCACACTGTGCGGGACGAGCTTCTGGGACAGCCCTCTTCTTCCACAGCGGGGCGTGGATGAGTGTGATGACCGTCCTGAGGCCGGGCTCCCGCGAGCTGGCCCCAAGGTACCCGCGTGCTGTCTAGCCTAGCACGGGGACAGCCTGAGGACAGAGGCCCCAACACCCACCGGAAAGCACCCTGCAGGGCCCGTGGCAAACACACAGGCTCCAGCGCCAGCTGCCGCCAGTCGCTGCCCTGCCTTGATCCACACTGCCCGGCTGCAAGGGGGACAGTCAGGCTTACGGCTGTCAAGTCTGTTTAAATCCAGTTAACGAGATGTTCTAAAGTTTACTTTCAAAGATCAGGGCTGTTTGCAATGGGCTTGTCAACAGGCCAAGGACGCCTCAGAGGGCGTACATTCAGTAGCACAGGCCACCTGACAGGGGAGCCGCCACTGCACACAGGGGTGCACGCAGACGTGTCCACACGCACGTGCACACACACACACACACCTGTGCACAGCTAGCGTGCATTGAGTAGTGCAGATCACCTGACAGGAAAGCCACCACTGCATACACAGTGCACATGGATGTGTGCACACGTGCACACACACACACACACACCTGTGCACAGCTAGCGTGCATTCAGTAGTGCAGACCACCAGACAGGGGAGCCACCACTGCATACACAGTGCACATGGATGTGTGCACATGTGCACACACACACACACACACACACACCTGTGCACAGCTAGCGTGCATTCAGTAGTGCAGACCACCTGACAGGAGAGCCACCACTGCATACACGGTGCACATGGACATGTGCACACACACGCACATGCACACACACACATGCACTGTGCACACACACATACACACATGCACACACACACCTGTGCACAGCTAGCGTGCATTTAGTAGTGCAGACCACCAGACAGGGGAGCCACCACTGCATACACAGTGCACATGGACGTGTGCACATGTGCACACACACACACACACACACACCTGTGCACAGCTAGCATGCATTCAGTAGTGCAGACCACCTGACAGGAGAGCCACCACTGCATACACGGTGCAAATGGACATGTGCACACACACGCACATGCACGCACACACACACGCACTGTGCACACACACATGCACACATGCACACACACATCTGTGTCCATGTGTGCACACACACCCTGTGCACACGCATGCACACATGCACACATGCAGACCAGCTGTGTGTCACATTACACCCTCCACTGTCTGCCCTGTTGCTCCAACAGCAGAGCTCTGCCGGTCCAGCACCTCTGCTCTCCCACCAAACGCTTCTGCGGACAAAGCTGGGCTTTTCCTGTTTCCAGTTTCTTCTGCTGCCATCTAGCTAAGACAGACTACAGGCTGAGTGCTCGGTCTCCAAGACCATCCCCGGGCAAGTCCTCATAGCCCCACCCCACCCCATTGGCCTGGATTACTTTGGAGGGGCAGGTCACCGCACAGGAACACTACAAGGGTATTGGTAAGCAACTAGATCAGAACCACAAGAACTTCATGGACCGAGGGACCCCTGCCCTCTTGGCCATCCCACACTCCACACACCAGCCGTCTGCGAGTTCCCTTAGTGGGGTCCTCAGTGCTCCCCTAACGGGCCGGGCTGGTCCCCGGGCCCAGCCTGCCCAGCCTCCCCCCATGGGATGGACAGGGCACCGGCTGCTCTCCTGGCCTCTCTAGTGGTCAGCCTCATCCTGAGGCTATCCAGGGCCTGTGTCACCTTATTAACATCAAGCCAAACCCCACCATTGTCAGGGGCTCCTTGGATAGCAAAGAGCTTCCTCCCATTGAGATATTTCCCCGGCTTCAGGAACTCTGCAGCAGGAATACAGGATAAAGACTATATATGTCACCATATTTCACAAATCAAGAAAAGGTGCTAATTCCCAGGAAACAAAAGCATCTGCTGGGGATACAGCCTGAAATTCACAGGAGATGGTTGCTGCCAGTCCCACAGCACAGGGGCTGGCCCTGGGCCTCAGCAGCAGAGTCACAACAATCACAAGGCCCTAAGTACAAGCTCTAGTACCACAAAATGAAAGTACACTCTCCATACTTTGAAAACTAGGAATAGAGAGAGGGCTGTCCCTACTAACTGGCCAGTGCTTTCTCCTCCCTGCCTTCCTCCTGAATTTGAGTACAGACCCAAACTGAGCAGGAGATCAGCATACCTGACATGGGTACAGACCCAACCGAGCAGGAGATCAGCACACCTGACACGAATACAGACCCAACTGAACAGGAGACCAGAGCACCTGACGAGTACAGACCCAACCGAGCAGGAGACCAGAGCACCTGACACGGGTACAGACCCAACTGAACAGGAAGATCAGAGCACCTGACACGGATACAGACCCAACCGAGCAGGAGATCAGAGCACCTGACACGGATACAGACCCAACTGAACAGGAGACCAGAACACCTGACATGGATACAGACCCAACTGAACAGGAGACCAGAGCACCTGACATGGATACAGACCCAAACCTGACCGCATCATTTAGTGACCACACGAAGCCCGACACTTGCTAGCGCCAGAGGGCTCCTGTCGGTAAACAGCCCCACCACAGTAATGGGGTGCAGATGACCCCCAAGTAGGGCCCTCCTTGCTGCTAAAAAAGCACTGCATGTCCTTAATGCAGGAAATCAATTCCGAAAGCTTCCACAACAGTGAAATGGAAAGAGATAGTGTTGGCCAACATGAGCTTGATGAAGACTACGTCTCAGACTCCAGAAGGCTCTGTCACAGGTGAACAGAAGGAAGAGGCTTCTGGGCAGCACCCAGAGCACTGCGGCTGCCTGGGTCTCCGCATCCTCCCACTGAGGGCCTGGCTGGCCGTGTCTCTGCTGCCCTCCTCCTCCCCGGAGCCGGCTGGTCCTCTCCTTCCATGCGCTGATCGCGTGACCCCGTGGGTCCTGCCCTTCCTGCCCACTGACCCCGTGGGTCCCGCCCTTCCTGCCCACTGACCCCGTGGGTCCCGCCCTTCCTGCCCGCTGACCCCGTGGGTCCTGCCCTTCCTGCCCACTGACCCCGTGGGTCCTGCCCTTCCTGCCCACTGACCCCGTGGGTGCTGCCCTTCCTGCCCACTGACCCCGTGGGTCCCGCCCTTCCTGCCCACTGACCCCGTGGGTGCTGCCCTTCCTGCCCACTGACCCCGTGGGTGCTGCCCTTCCTGCCCACTGACCCCGTGGGTCCTGCCCTTCCTGCCCACTGACCCCGTGGGTCCTGCCCTTCCTGCCCACTGACCCCGTGAGTGCTGCCCTTCCTGCCCACTGACCCCGTGAGTGCTGCCCTTCCTGCCCACTGACCCCATGGGTGCTGCCCTTCCTGCCCACTGACCCCGTGGGTCCTGCCCTTGCTGCCCACTGACCCCGTGGGTCCCGCCCTTCCTGCCCACTGACCCCGTGAGTGCTGCCCTTCCTGCCCGCTGACCCCGTGGGTCCTGCCCTTCCTGCCCACTGACCCCGTGGGTCCCACCCTGCCATCTCTGCTCTCACTACCACGTACACCACCCAGCTCCCCATGTCAAGGTGCACGTCATGTGCCTATCAACTCTAATGGATAGTGTTCTCACTTTTTGTCATTATATCTGAATTCTTATTTTATTAATTAATTAATTAATATTATTATAAAGGTGAGGTAGAGAAGGATTGCAGTTACATAAGTCAGGTAAACAATGTTGCCCCTAGTCCTCTCTCTCTCTCTCTCTCTCTCTCTCTCTCTCTCTCCCCCTCTCTCCTGGTTTTCCCTCTTGTCCCCACCCACAAGTTGTGTAGTTCATTGTCACTGTAGTGTCCAGTGAGTATCACTGCCACATTTGTTCCCTCTTTGTCCCTCCATTTCTGTTCCCCCCTTACCTTCCCAAAAACAAGTAAAGACAAAAAGAAAAGAAAAACTGAAATTTATTTTAAAACATAGTGCCTGTGGCTCATGCCTATAATCCTAGCTACTCAGGAAGCTGAGATCTGAAAATCACAGTTTGAAGCCAGCTAGGCAAGAGAGTCTGTCAGACGCTTGTCTCCAATTAAACACCAAAAAGCCAGAAGCAGAGGTATGGCTTAAGGGTAGAGCCTCAGCCTAAACACAAGAGTTTGTGGACAGTGTCCAGACCCTGGGTTCAAGCCTAGGAATGGCACCAAAAAAAGAAAACATATTAGCAAAATAGTCCCAAGGATCAGACTAACATCCTCTCTGGAGGGAAATGAAACAGTCAAGTGATTTCAAAGACTATTCTTGCAGGTACTGTACCCAGCACAAAACTCAAAATAACCAGGGACACAGAGAAAAGACCACATAAATTAAAAACAAACAACAACTCAACATAAAGAACAGAGAAAGCTGGGCGCCGGTGCCTCACGCCTGTAATCCTAGCTACTCAGGAGGCTGAGATCTGAGGATTGTGGTTCAAAGCCAGCCTGGGCAGGAAAGTCCGTAAGACTCTTATCTCCAATAAACCACTAGAAAACCGCAAGTGGCACTGTGGCTCAAGCGGTAGAGCACTCGCCTTGAGCTGAAGAGCTCAAGGACAGCGCCCAGGCCCAGAGTTCAAGCCCCACAACCGACAAAAAAAAAAAAAAAGAACAGACAAAAGGGAAACCCCACAGAGGCTGAAACTAATGCAGTTTTAGACACAAATGTTAACAGCAAGCATACTTACCTTGCTTTCCATGCTCAGGGACATAAAAGGTGAGGCTGAGAAGTTCAGCCAAGCATCTGAAAGCATTAAACACTCAATATATAAAGTCTTACAAGAAAAACTGAAAGAATACAATGAGTAAGTTTAATAGTAGATTTGATACAGTAAAGAAAAAAGCCTTTAGCTGGAAAATAGATCATACAAAAACATTCAGAATACAGCACAAAAAGAAAATGCAGATAAGATGGAGAAGCACACGGGGTCCTATGAACAGATCTTGTTATACCTATAATTATACTTCAAGAATGGAAGACAGGAGAAAGACAGAGAGACCTCGATTGAGGTACTATCCCAAACACTAAAAACAAGCCAGGGGTTCTAGAAGTTACATAGAGGAAAAAGGGAATAATTCAATGGTATCAATGCAACAGAAGACAGAAGAGAGCAAAAGCATAGAACAAGGGGAAAATAGAAAGCTATAGACTTAATGAAAATAGTATATTAATAATTAGAATAAATACAAATGGAGTAAATGCTCCAGTTGAAAAACAAAAATGATCATAGTGGAAGGGAATTGGGAGGGGAAAGTGGGAGAAAAAGGAGGGAGAGGTACTCATTGCCTCCCCATGTAACTGTAACCCCGCTGTACATCACCTTGGCAGTAAAATTAAATTTAAAAAAAGAAAGAAAAAGAAGGGCACTAATAGCTCAAAACTGCAGTCTTAGCTACTCAGAAGGCTGAGACCTGAGAAGCATGGTTAGAAGCCAACCCAGGCAGGAAAGTCCATGAGACGCTTATCTCTAATAAAGTACCAAAAAAGCCAGAAGTAGAGCTGTGGCTGAAGTGGTAGAGTGCTAGCCTTGGGCAAAAAAGCTCGGGGGTACACCCAGGCCCTGAGCTCCAGCCCCACAACTGACCACCTCCCACACACACCCAAAAAAGTGTCTTAGTCCAAATAGGCTGATGGCTTCATCAAAAAATTCAACCAAACATTTAACGTGAAATTAGTATGAGCTTTACAAGAATGCATCCAGAGAATAGGAAAAAAGAGGAGGGAGGGAGAAACACACCCAGATATTCATGCACAAATATATAACCTTGGTGCTTAAAGCCCACAGGACATTAGGAGAAAGACAAATTATAGACCAATGAAAATAAGTGCAAAAATTCTTATGCAAAATATTACCCAACCAGGCCCAGCAGTATTGGGAACATAATATATTATGATCATGTGGATTTATCCCAGGAATACAAAATTAGTTTTACATTAAACATTTATCAATGTAATCTAACACATTAACAGAATAAAGGAGAAAGTTATAATCATTGTAATAGGTGCAGAAAACACACTTGACAACATCTATTTGTGATTTTTAAAAGAACACTTGGTAAATTAACAGTAGAAGGAAACTTAGTCTGCTAAAGGGAGCTATCAAACCCACAGCAAAATTACACTTCATGGTGGAATGGAAAGCTTGCCTGCTCTCACTCTGGGAGCCCAACAAAGGAGACTATTATTACCACTTCTATTCAATTATTGCAGAAACAGCACAGAAAGAAACATGACAAGGGTTAGTAGGAGGAGGTCAAACCGTCATTATTCTCATATGATACGGGAAGCCAAAGCAATCAACAGATTGAAATTAGTAAAGTGTAAACAAGGCTCTGCAGAGTTGCTGGCTACAAGGTCACTATAAAAACACATTTTAGCTGGGCAATGGTGGCCCACGCCGGTAATCCCAGCTAGTCAAGAAGCTGAGATCTGAGGATCCAGGTTCAAAGCCAGCCCAGGCAGGAAACTCCCTGAGACTCCTATCTCCAATTAACCACCAGAAAACCAGAAGTGGCGCTGTGGCTCAAGTGGTAGAGCGCTACCCTTGAGTGAAAAAGCTCAAGGACAGCACCCAGGCTCTGAGTTCGAGTCCCATGACCATCAAAAAAAATGGTTTTTTACTTCTATAAGCCAGTGCTAAACAGAAAGTTGGTGTCTGGAATGGTTGTAGGGATCAAATCTCAGTCTATGCTGATATAATTTACCCTAAAACCACAGGCATTAAAATATTCATAATAAATATAATAAAAGATTACAGGAACTTCTCACAGAAATCCTCAAAAATATTATCCAGAAGACATAAACAGAATTCGCGTACCTGTGAAAACACCGTGTTGTGGGTTAAACAACTGATTATAGAGATTTGCAGATGAGAAGATTCATGACAACCCTTGTAGAGTCCTAGATTCTGCAACACACAGCAAGCTTACTCTAAAATGTATGTGGACACATAAAGGTCCGAGAATAACCAAGAAATCTTGAGGACAAGAAAAAGGGGAGGAGGTGCAGGAGAGTCTTCTATAGCTCTGCCCCGTCCAGAGAGGGCGTTTCATGGCAAGGTAACAAAAACACTGGTGGGAAAGAACAGAGCAAGAGTATAGCAACGGAAATGCACAGACACACACTTGATTTGACGAAAATCAAAATGGGGAGGCTGAGGGCAAAAACTCTTTCCGTAAATAGTTCCCAGTTCATTGGACCCCCATGTGGGAAAACACAGGAAATTTAACACACAGTATGCTCATAAACACAGACCCCAAATCCATATGCACTTACACAGTGAAAAACTTGAGCAAAAACGTCCTTAGCATTTCTACTCATGCTTAGAAACCACACAGTCATCAGTAGTGTACAGAAAATACAAACTAGTATATCGGTGTGACTGTATGCGATTCAGTAAGTAGCAATAATCAATACTGCTATGCAGACAATACTGCTGAATCTCAAAACCATGAGCGTGCATGCATGTGTGTGTGCGCACACACACACACAGAGTATAGTCCTGCTGCCTACAAATAACCCCCAAATAGGCAAATAAGCTCTGTGTGTATGTGTGTGTGTGTGTGTGTGTCAGAGAGAAAGAGCGTGTGTGTGTGCAGTGGCACACGTTGAGCAGGAAGACTATCACAGAGCGCACACAGCTGTGCCCGAGGCTGTCAGAGCTGTACAAGGCGTGCTCTACAGCTCTTCCTGCCAGCTGGCCAGGCTGGGCGGCCTCCCACTGGACCCCACACAGGGGGCTGGGCGGCCTCCCACTGGACCCCCACACAGGGGGCTGGGCGGCCTCCCACTGGACCCCCACACAGGGGGCTGGGCGGCCT